CTTTCACAACTGCAAAGAGCATTCGTGAAAGAAGTGTTTATGATGCAGACACCTCTCTCATTCCTTCTCGCTCACAAACATTCCAGGCAGCCTTTCATCTTGTAACCTTTATAATAGTGCGTTGTCCGCAGATTAAAGAAACCTGTCAAGTCCTACCCATGCAGATAGCTATTGTATCCCAGTGACAAACGTGAACTGTAAATGTTTATGACTGCTCAAAAACATTAATCAAGTATTCAATATCAATGTTCAAACATACAAATAAGAGCCTAGTCTTGTTATTAGTAGCAGATAGATGGTTACTTTAATTAAACTCCTGTGAATTGTTTTGTTTGCTTGTCCTGAGTAGGTAACTGACTAAATGAGGGAGTAGTGGCTATAACCTGAACGTGTGTGTGTGTGTGTGTGTGTGTGAGTGGACTGTAGGCGCCACCTGGGTACTAATGAGCAAGTAATTAGGCTCTGGCACATGCACAGACAGCCACACCTCGCTCCTTAGGACCCCAGCCGCCATATGCTGCACCAGTTGGGAGCTCAACTTGCCAAGAACTCTAGAAGAAAGAGAAAAGTAAGTGAAAAAAAAAAGCCTCAGCTCCTTCCTTCTTCATAGCAGCAATCTTTCTAAACATTTCGGCCTATGCAATAATATTGCATGACCTTCTCAGCTAGAAGCATTTAAAAATCACAAATATACAGAGTAAAACCCTCAGTAGAATGATGAAAGTAAACCCGGTAATTTACTAAGTGTCAACCCTATTCTTGCCAGTGTAGCCTGATCTCAAACACATTCAGAATGCCAACAAAAGAAGGGGTGTGTCCTTAAAAAAAGGAAAGCTGGGCTAGGGTCGGTAGTCAGGGATTAAAGTGGTTTGATTTCTTTTTACAGGTGGTGAAAACTGACCCCAGCACAGCACAAACATGGCGGAAATCTTTGAGTTGTAGACTTAAGAGAAAATTTGGAGAGAAAACGTTCTTTCAACTGCTTTCAGGAGCATGTAAAATCAGCAGATGCCAGCCAAATGTTGGTGGGTCTATTTGTTTGTCAGCTTCTGTAATGTTGTCCCTCCCCACTGTGAAATGCGGTAACAAAGTCCCATACAGAAGATACCATTCACATACCCTCTGCTTTTGACAAGCACAAGTCATTTCTGGGTCACATTCAGGCCATTTGTGAGACAGAGAGAACACACACATACACAAATTTGCTTAACCATCTGCTCTTGGTGCCTATCGTGGTGTAACATTACCTCAAGCTCTCCAGGAAGGACAACAAGGGAATCTACGGCCATTTGGTGATTCTGCTGTGGTGATGTTACTAATGGTGTTTACTTAAGTTAATGTACAAATACCTTAATTAAAAAAAAAGCATTAAAACCTCCTTTTAATGTGACTTGAGTAAAAGTAGAAAGTAGCAATTTAATGCACATAAGTAGGTACTGATCAGTGGACCATAGTTTATGCATTTATTTATTTATGGTTTGTAATTTCATATGAGCCTACTGCACAAAATATCTATTTTAGGAGAGAGGGTTTAATGTCCTACACACAGGTTCAGGATTTTGCTAAGATTGGTTTGAGCTCAGTCTGACATTATTCTGAATTATGATGAATTGTCAGCTAGTCTACAGCATTCGAGCAGTTCATACAATAAACTAAACTGCTCACACTTTTTTCAGCAGATTTACTTCTCAAACAGCAACAGCATCATACAACACACTCATATAGCACACACAAGCTCTGAGGATCAAATTACTTCTTGTCCGTGTCTCATTTTTGATTTGGAACAACTTTCCAAAAAGTAAAAATACTAATACAACAATAAATACAGGTACTACAAATCTGTATAAGTACAGTAACAAAATAAACAAAATGCTTATACTACTGCAAATAAAACATACAACATAAATGGAGCAAACAGATACAAACATGTGAACCCAGAGGACCACATGATCCTGGTTCGGGCAGTATTGACATACTGATTTGAGGCCATTATTCTTGTACTTATAGGCACAGCTTCCCTTCTCAGAGGAAAGTGCTATTATTTGTTCAGGGCTTCTGGGCTATTTTTTTTTCTTTTCTTTTCTCAGGCAGCACTGATCTCAGTGTTAGCAGGTAAATCAATTTTATCGGCCACGGAAGGTCCCAAGCTCTGCCATCTGTGTCCCGGTCATTAGCTATACTGATTTGTGTAACATGTTAAAAGTTGTTAAAGATAGTCTCTATTGACATCTCTGTACATCCCTTTCACAGCATAATCTCAAAGGGAGCATCCATTCATCTTCAGCCTGGTCCCTGTCCTCTGGCTAAAAGGGGCAGCAATATTTCTGCCTGCGTCCAGGAGGGTGAAACTGTCATGTTTTTTTTTTTTTTTTCGGCTCTGTCTGATAAGGTGAGTTCAAGTATAGGGTTGTAGAAATCACTGAATTAGCACAACTTTTCTGTCATTCATAATGTCAGAGAAACTTCTATTCTTTTTAATTATGTTTAATAATGATCTATGGCCTGTAGGACAGTGATAATTTAATCACACAGAAATTATAAATGATGTTTCTAAAACCTTTATTAATTACAGCGGAAGAGATAGCAAAAGAAAAGAAAAAAAGTACTAGTTTCTGATATCTAAGTAAACTTAGCTCGACCAGTCAGAATTTAGAGATGAAACCATCAGTTTTATTAAGTACTTCTTCCAAGCTCAATGTTCTTTTAGAGCAAACTTTTTTGGACATTTGCATTGCATAAGAACATAAAATAGTACATCTACAAAGTGTTTAGAGATTTCTCCCTTTATTTCAAGATGCCTTCTTTGGTAAGAACATTTTGATTAATATCAAACAAAAGAAGAAAGGTGAAAATATGTTTTTAACTTTAGCTTAGGTGATGCATGGTAAGTCATAATCATGCAGGCATCTCTTCATATTGCATAAAGACTTATTTCATTATTCTGATATAAGGGATACTTGGGCTAGTTGTCACATTTTTTTAGGCCAGCCAATATTTCCCAGGGTGTATTTTTGAAAGTCAATTTCTGTCCATGCATGTATCTTTAAGTCTTGAAAATAAATAAATAAATAAATAACCAAGAAAAGGTTCAATAAAAAACAGTAGAAGATTTTCACACTATATGGGGTAAGTTGTTGCAATGGAGCTTGCCAGTAAACAGCTTATTGACGGTTCAACAAAACAATTAAAACAAGTATAAAATATAAAACAAATCATGAAAAGGCAACAATGTAAAAGGTAATGTACAGACATATTGTTTTTGCCAACAAATATTTTAATAAAATCATATAAACTATAATATAATTAATATAACTTAAAAAAAAGTTTGAACTTATTTATGAAAAACACTGAAAGCATATTTCAGCCTTGCAGTTAAAATATACTATCAAATAGTGTAGTGCCTAAATTTATGTCAGTGTGCTTTTGAAGTACAGAATTAATAAAAAATATTAAAACAAAATAATAATTTCCCCCCCTCTCCCTCATCAGGCCCTTGGAATAGTCCTAACCTTCCCCCCCTGTTACGGCACCCCTGCCTGTGAAAGAAACTGCTTCTTGAGTTCCTTTTATTATTAATTGCAGTCTCAACCTCAATGCAGCATAAGTGTAAAAGCAAGCCAAAGCTTTTTAGTACAGCAACAGAGACTGTTCAGTAAAGCGACTGGAAGGCAACCCAACACATCTGAGTGTAAACATTCCGATTGCTATGAGTCTTTGGAGCTCTAATTTTAGCATTGACTTCTTCATCCACAACATTTGTATTGACTCTTCAAAGTCTATCTCTGGCATCAGATTTTAACAGATCACCATTCCACTTATCAAGTTGACAGAAGGCGCATCCCTATCATGACGAATACATGAACTGACTCTTTTGTGGAGCAGGATAAGATGGAGCTGAAGAGAACCAAATGGTGGAACAGGAGGAGAGAACAGTGTAGCCCCCCGGGAGATAACAGTGGCTGCCACAGTGATACTGATCTAAATGAAAACAAACAGAGATAAGAGGGAGACTGGAATCACACTGGCACACTCTGGAGTCCCTGCGTGTGTTTGTGTTTGCGCACGAGCCCATGTGTAGCCTCCACGCCTGCCCCATGGTAGCGACCACCCATCAGATAGATATCAGCTTGAACAATTAGAGCAATGCCTCCACTCTCGCTAGATGAAGATTCTCAGTGGTGTAGTGCGGAGTTTAATTTTGGGGCCCTTAATTTTTTATGAGGTATCAATGTGGAATCTTGAGTAGCAGATTTGCGCGTGTGCTCTTTATGTCACTCGAGGGACATCAATCCACATATCAGCGAGAACAGATGAAGAAGTCAGTCAGTTGTGGCTGAAACCGTGTTTCCGAGAAACAGAGGTAATACTTCTGCTCTGAAGTCAGATGAAACCGAGATTCTGGTTTGAGGCCCAAAACCCCATTGGACATCACTCCCACAGCTTTTGCAGTTAATCTGGTTGATGCTCCCACTAAGGCTCTCATATTTTGTGATCACACACCAAGGAGCAATAACTGATCCTGTAATCTTATTTTTGATATCTCTATCAGAAACTTAGACGATATGCCACTAGGGAAATTAGGACAGTTTGGTATTTGCGTTTCCGTAGGTCAGATTGATAGCGCAAAGAACTAGTGAGATAAAATCTATAGTGAGCTGGATTTAGGTCATCCTGAACAAAAAGTTAATTTAAACTGTTAAAGAGGCCCTGATTAGTTGAGCTATTGAAATGCTTTCTGAAAAGGCCCGTCCTGAATCCATAATTACATTTCCATTAGTTTAACATGAAAGAGTAGTAGTTTTACTTTATGGTAAAAATTAAGGATAAAACATTGACTGCATTATTATATTCGCCTGGCTGCAAACATATTTAGAAACATCTGTGTGATTGTTTTAGTGGTAACAACATTTGTAACACCTCCTTAACCACTCTTTCTATTAAGAGTATGCCAAGTCTTGAGTGTTAGATTGGAGTCTAATATTCATTCCACATCTTTTATGGAGACATGTATGCACTCACATAAAAAGAGTCTGATGGTCTGATTAATCCACTTGAGGAGAAACCATTATCACAAGAACAATTGGTGTGTCTATCCTTGTGGAATGGCCATCCATCAATGTCACCGCTACTTATTATTCGCCATTGCCTCAGGAGGTCCACATTTAGCCACTATGGACACTCTTACTGTCAGAATGCAGGTTTGCCCTGTGATTCTGGCTTGCATTCAAGTGTTTTTTTTTTTGTTTTTTTTTCAGGGATTTACTATAATAAGCCAAAATAATTTTCTACAAGTTGTTATTTGCAGATCAAAGTAGAGTGTTTTGGTAGTGTGCGTCAGCATGTGTTTTTAAAACCCTCACAGATAGATGTCAATGCCTGTATTTTAAGTGAGTTTTTGGTGGTTTCGCAGTGTTTCATAATTCTGCGGTCATCAGGCAGTGATTGCTGCCTACATGTGAAGTGACCGTCTGCACAAATGAGTCATCATTCACACTGAACACTGACAGTGCGGAGAACTCAGTGTTCTTCACAAATTCAAGGAAGACATCAAAGCTAAAACTTTTAAAATGTTTGCTAACAGTAAACAAAATGGAGTTCTGGAATGCTGGTTCATCTAGCCCTGTCAGTGACACAAACACATATAAGTGCTTACCTCACTCCTATGACATTTCTCCAGCATCCCTCCACCTTCATTTTTAATTTTAACCATTTTCATTTAAGTAAGCTTGAGCTTAGTGTCATACTCCCTCCTTCATTAGATGGACATGCAAACTAGTGAAACACAATACATATAGTATATGCTCACACAGCAGCAAATAAGGATACAGTACGTTTATTCACAGTTTTTAAATGACAGTGACTTTTGTGCAAGTCACATCATTAGACCAGTAGATGATGGCAAGTGATTAATGAGTGCGTCATTAAATAATTTGCTGCATCTGAATATGTTTACCTTGTTACTATTTATGTGAAAAACGCATGAATAGAGTAGTAAGTCTGAATTCAGAGTAAACAGTAAAAAGTACCCGGACGACCTACTACTTCCCCAGACATTCCAAATTTCATTCATACCACCCATATTCATATTATTATTTAATGATTTGTTAAAAAAAAAAAATATATATATTAATGAATCAAAAAGATGAGTCTTTGAATCATTCACTCAACTGATTCGTACAACAACACTGATTCATTCAGAAACTAAACAAAAGTGACTGCCTATGAGTGACTCATTTAATAATTCACTCAAACAAATTGATTTGTTCAGAAATGTAGCACCACTGTTGTGTTGCTCAGATAGCAACAGTTGATTTTGCTTTGGCTGGAACTATTTCTGTTGGCGGAGCAAAAATACACAAACCATCTGTGTATAAAATGAAATTTAATCAAAATTCTTGTTTACTAAGCTGTTAAATAAAATCGGTACCACTCTCACAGACCATCGTGCTGTTGGTCTGAAAATCAGCAAAGCTGTGATTCTCTTATGAATCTGAAAAACAGCACTCTTGCTTAATTGTTGCTGTGGTTACAGGTGTTGCTCATGAAAGATTTTTTTTTTTTACCCCATTCAGACAGCATTGAGTTTCTCATGTAAGCTGTTGTATGAACAGGACAATTTAAGTGAAACATGTCTGTAAATGAATTTGTCAGACATATTTCAGCAGATGATGTTTGATAAATCTCAAATTGGAAAATGCGAGTACGGTAAAATTCTGTGTAAAATGTATATACTCACTATGGTTTTCACCGACTTGACATGGTGAACTCAATCAGCGACAGTATTTTTAGTTTTTTCAATGGCATTCACAGACTTTGAGTGGCTGTGATTACATTATGTGGTGTTATAATAAAGTAGCACTCATTTTTGTTAGTGATGGCCATGCATTGCTGTTTGAAATATGGGCTCTCTGAAAACCCACAAGCCTTGACACTTCTACAGCTCAGTATTGTCACACACAGTGTTTTCGAGTCCATGTTTTTATTCTTCCTCTGAGGTCAACACAACAGGCTACATGCTCATAATCAGCATTCATCTCCTTCATGAATATGAGTTTGTTCAAAAATTAAGTTGTGGCTATGAAAGGAAAGCGTTTTTTTGTGGCTGCAATTTCACATGAACTCATTATGTTCAAGGTGAATCAACAAAGCATGGCATTCCAGTGCTGTTCCCTGTTAATCTTTAATAAGCTGAATGCTGTATCAGTCCTGACAAGTTGAAGGTGGATATCCAAACACACAGCCTTCGCTAGTGTGAATTATCTTATTATATCAGTGTAATTGTGTATCTGTTTATGTTTTTGATTAAAGTCTTGTGCACACCTAGAATGGAAATCTGCATGAATAAGACTTTGAATTAAGCATAAATACATTCCTATCAACACACCAATGACAACATGCTTTTTTTTCCTAGAGAATGATTTTATATATTTTTATTTCTAATATTGATGGTCTCAAAGTCTCAAAGCATGAAAATGCATAATGGTACAAGCAGGTCAAAAAAAAAAGTGATATATAAAAGCGATTTGTAATAAAATAGGGATGTGTGTATATTTTATTCAGCATACTGTATATTTATACACTACCCACCTAGCACACTTTTATTACAACAGCTATACTATTAATTCTAACAGTACACCTCAGACGTGGGAAACCTGTGTTTCATGGAGTGATGCTTCATTTGAAGGACCATCCATAGATCACAGATCATAACAATCTATCAAACAATAACTGCACCACAGTCGTAAAGAATAAAGATGTTGACATTAGTTCTCAGCGGATGAAGCGGAGACTAAACAGAGGCTGTTTTCAGAGTCATTTATCAGATGAATAAACATTCACACTTTTGATGTATAACCTTGTGCCGCCCTGTAATGGAAAAGTGATCATCAAGCAGAAAGACTTGAATTCTTTTTCTGTTTCCTCTACCCCTCCTACAGTTCTCCCTCCCATCTCTTCTTTAAGAGGTTTCCTGCCAGAGCTGTGCAAAAGTTGAAGTGGATGATGAAGAGGCTGAGCAGGGGGCCTGGCAGCGCTGCATCCCACACAGACGCCTCTCTTGTGGGCATGCCGAGAGGGACATGGCCCCCGTGATGGAAGGTTGCTGGCAGTCTGGAGCCGGAACTGCAGAAGGAAAAGGTTCATTCATTAATCTACCTTACTACCTTCTATATACCCGTATGTTTTCTCCAATCATCTGCCCCCCCTCCCCCCTTTTCCCTCTTTCTTTAATCTACATGTGTTTCGTAAAGGAATAGTTAACTCAAAAAAGAAAATTCAGTCTAATTCACCTTCAGGTTGCTCCAAACCTTCATGACTTAATTTTTTCCACAAAAGAAGACATTTTGAAGAATGTACTGGTCATTTTTCCAAGCCGTTTTTAAAGGCACTGGAGCTTTTTAAACTTCTAAAAGTAGTCCACATGAGTTTAAATGCTATATTGCTAGTCATAAAACAGCTTTGTGTGAGAAACAGAACAGAAAATTGTAACGATATTCTCTGAAATATCTGACATCCATTCTAGCTCTCCTTGGCATTTCACAGGAGTTCATGAGAGTAGCAGTATTACCCAATTTGCACAATTATTCTTCTGAATTGGTTATTTATGGTTGATCTAGTTCACTAAACAGGTCTGAATGATTCATTCACAAAGCGGACTGATCTAGTTCACAAACTTAGCTCAATGGCTCAAAGATCTAAAATTGCATGGAAAAAAATGATGAACGGTTTTGGAATTACATGAGGGGAAGTAAATGATGACACTATTTAATTTATGGGTGAACTATCCCTTTCACATCCCATTTTTAAGGCTTTTGCTATGAAGTCACGCATCATTTTGTTTCAAAGTCATTCTTAGCTAGTACATCTCTCCTTCTCTGCCTTTCTCACCTCCTCGCTCAACCACCAACCCCATTTGCTCTTTCTCCATGTGAGGGTGCGCTGACAGATCCTGGGCTGAATGGAAACGAGCGTGTCCATCCATCCTCACCTTTCTTGCTCCCTCCCTCACCTTGTGTCTCTCTTCCTCCTCTCCTCTCTCTCTCTCTCTCTCTCTGTCTTTTTTTCTTTCTTTCAGGTGTGCTAGGCTTTTTGGCATTTCCTCTTTCTTATCGCAGGAGGCAGGTAGGAGTCATGGGCAAACAACACGCATCATTACCTGTGTGAGTAAAGTGGTCGGGTCCTGGCACCTTCAACCGTTGCAGAATAACTAATGCCTGGAACCTTCCACCCGGCTCTGTACCAGCCCAGAGGCAATTTGGGGGTTCACCCATTGCAGATAGCTCAGATAACTGGGCATTAATTTGCCCTCATTACTCCAAAAACATACAGCCTCAGGGTATGTCTAGAGAGCAGTCTGAGACCCCCGAGTAGCTCACCTATGCATTAATGTCAAGGATGACTCTATAAAAAAAAACAACAACAACTATGTATTGGTTTTGCCTACCCATTAAAAGAACAGGTCATACAAAAAAAATAAAATAAATAATTCTGTAATTATTTACTCACAACATGTCATTCCAAACCATATGCTGTTGTTATAGCACATTTTATATACAGTATATTGCATATTAATGTTTATATTGTCATAAATTCACACTGAATCTCCAAATTAATGTAGAAACAACATAAGTAGCCTATTATTATTAATGAAGGCTGCTACTGATGTCCCTATTAAATGCATTTTCACCCTCAGTTTTAACCATTAATTATAGCCATTCAACATTACAGTATAAGTGAAAACCATTATTTGTAACATTTAACAGGCTTTGAAAAAATATAACAACTTGAAAAAATATAACAACAGCTAAGCGAATATAAAACAATCTTCACATATATTATAAACTGAATATGCATAAACTATACATTGAATATAAATTGATCTTTATTTAATCTACAAAAGTTAATCAGTGAGCAGAGCAGTGAGTGATTTCTCGTTTTTCTTTTGTTCTTTGATTTATATTGATGACACAGACTGCAGCAGGTTTACTTAAAAAGCAGTGCTGTCTCTTTAAAACCTGGTGCACATGAAGTGGACATGACACACATCCGATTTTCTCCCAACTCCCATATGGTCATTTAGGACTTTTTAACTAATTTAAGACTGTTTATGACGTCACTCACCAAAACGGGCAAAAAAATAAAAAAAATGTGTGAGGCACATGATATTTTGAGTCACATGACGTGTCACATGATGTTCTGGTAAGCACATGGCAAGATGGCCACAAGGATATTTTGCACAATTCTTTGAGTTAGATTGTCATTTAGCAAAAGATACGTTGGAAACATTCTTCTTCGGGATATATAGACATCATTTGGAATTAACATCAGACCTAAGCCAGCGGTGAGTTATTTATCGCAGGGATTTTGCGTCCTCTTCAGGAGAGAGCAGTTCTAAGCGCTGTTGAATTGATGCATTTCTTCGGTTAAATACAGGTATGTACATTGTGTACATTTTTTTTTTCTATACAGTTGTTACTGTGCTGTATATCGTTCAAATTTATGCAAAGCAACATAGGGCACGGTGCAAATCACCTACATGGAACTTTGCTGGATGGTTACAGAGAAAACTACCTGATGGTCCAAACAACAAAGGAAAGGCAGCTGATTTTTCTGACTGACAGACTGGACAAGACAAACAAGTATTGCTGTTTTTAATCTATTTTGGTGGGTTTGTCAGCTGGGTTTTCATGAGCCAGTATTTATTTTTTTATTTTTTCAAACTGCAGAATTAACTGATTTGTGTAATGCTTGATTGCATATGGACTGATTTTTGAACTCCTATTTTAACAGCAAACCATGTTTGTTTTAATTGCACAGGAAATTAATTTCGAACTGTTAGTTTACAGCCCAAGTAATATAAGTTATTGGCTTAATTTAATTGTTTAATTAATTGACTCTTTCTGAATTGTTGAATAATCTTTGCCATGTGAACCCTTCACTTCTGAATTGATAACTGCGTTTTAGGATTATTTTTCTTATATAGATTTTTTTATATTTTTTTTCATATACTTTGAACTGTGCATTTGTGAACAGTTAACTTTGCACTGATTGAATGATATTTTGCTTAAAACAAATAGCTGCTCTGTTGAATGACATCTTGCTGTTTGTGTGCTAATATTTCACCCATTTTCCATTGTAGCGGATTTAATAATTTGCTTGGCACCCTAATTAAGTCAATTCCACTACACCTTACATTCAGCGAGAATACACAATGCTGATGCACTCCAAAAACTGAAAACACACAACAGAAAGTACTTGTGTGTGTTAGGCTTTTTAAATAGTTTTAAATAATAATATATAGTATTGCTACTAATAATATTAAATATACATTTTAATGAACATTTTTGACTTCAATAAAACCAGTTATTTTGGCTGTGACCACATTAATCAAATTTTCTTTTTTAAATCTAAAAACATTTTTACTGTGTTTTTTTTTTCCACTCACAATTTCTACATGATGAAATATCTCAAGAGTTTGGCATAACCAAAAAAAATTGTATTCATTATAAAAATGGAGTTACAAGATTTTATCAATTTACATGGCTTTTCTAGTTGTGTATATATATATATATATATATATATATATATTGGGACTATATAATTCATATAATAATATATGCAGTGGGAACCCTGGTTCTTCAACGATAAAAAACGTTGTTTTTTGAGGTGGTGAATTACATTTAGAGATTCCCTTATTTTTTTTTAGTAATTTTAACTTAGTTTTAATGCTTGTTTTTTCTTATTTTAAGTAATTTTGAGGCACACTTTGAAATTTGCTGAGGCCCCCTAATGGGCAACTGGGCTCTATTTTAAGTGTTATTTTTTTGGGAAATACCCCCCACTTTCTACATTCACTGTAAGACTTATTTTCTTTTTAAACGATATATAATCAAAAATTTCAACATTTCCAAACTGTATTTTGCAGTATGGTGGTGTAAGGGAAACAGGTCAATTTAGCTCAAAGGGAATCATTTAAGATTTTATAGGTTAAGAGGTCTCTCATAAGGAATTTCAGTCTGTTCTCTGTCGTCGAGGTGGGGGAAGCCAATCCAAAGAGCTCGTGATTGCTATCACTGGTTACCATGTGATGGTCACGCCGTGCATCTCTTTTGACCATTAATCTTAATTACTTGCCCCCAAAATTGACAATCTCCTTGGAATTGTCAATAAGTGTTCTTTTGTTTAAATGCTGTGAGCTACTCAAAGCTGCTAGTTGGTTCAGGCTTGTGGCGCCAGGATCTGATTTACGACATCCTGTATCTTGGGCCTCTGTGGAATTTGGTTCCTCATGTTTCAACCATGTTTTGACCAAATCTTAGATTGTCTGATTCGGTCTGATACCCTACAGTGGTGTAATAGGACAAATCTGTAATTTACAGTAGAGCCACTAGCTCACATGCATTTACCATTCAAGGTGAAATGCATTTACTTTCAAATGCCAGTAACTCAATCATTTAGAAAATAGACACAGGACCACGATCTCATACAGCGTTCGCAAGCAGACGAGCTACTAATTACAGAGCTAATGACACAACACACAGAGCTCCTCACAGGTGTGGCTCCCAGTTTACCTCTTCCACACACAGATAGGCTACACCTAGAGGAACGAACACTTTTGTGCAGAGATTGCGCTTAGAAGATGAAATGGATGTCTCGGGTGTATTTTTTATTTTCCCCCCAAAATATCTTCTTTTATTGCAGATGTTTTCCCTTAGATTTCTTAGAAAAATATACACAATTATTGACGTATAGTAGAGATTTCATATTGTGTACATATTGCAAATATGAGCACAGTTTGAGATACTTCAGAGATCGGAAACTCCAGAAAGATACTTTTTTTTCTTAGGAGAAACATCTGTGAAGCAGGTGACTTCAGCAAAAGTCTCTGATCTTCATAACTGCAAAGCTGACATTTCTGCAGGCCATTGCAGTCAGAGGTTTTAGAAGTTTCTTGAACACAAGGTCCCACGTGGCAAATTGCAGTACTTAGATATTTGCTGCAGATATCTGCTCAGTTTATTCTGATTTGAGGTCTCTGCATCTCTGCAAATGGGCGCCCATGCCAAACAGAGGATTAAGGAGTAACTGAAAGTGAAGTTGAGCAGAAAGAGTTGTGGTTGCCTGATGGGGAGTTTTAATTGCCAGCCAAATGTATGATTTTTCTATCTGTCTGTAACTTTTCATAGCTCGAATTAGTCAACAGGTTAAATCTCATCCTTGCTGTTGATCGGGGTGTCTGTCTTTAAGGTGTTTTGTTAGTTTGATGCATTTCCTCCTCTTGAGGTCGCCACGTCTCAGTGCTTTTATGAAGAGGAGAACTTTCGTATAGCGCATCAAGAACCGGGTTGAACGGGTGCTGGGTACCACTGGTACTTAAGAAAACCTGGTACCGTAACGTTTTCATTTTGTTAGTACCGACTTGGTACCGAAATACCGGCGCTGCCCTTTTTGTTGTTAGGATAGACAGTTGGTCGAAGATACTTCTACAGACACACACTGTGGAAGTTAACAAAGATAAGGACATCCCGACACGACACCTAAAACTCCATTTCCGTTTCCATTTCAGAAATCTGGTCACTCTAGATTACGCTAGTGGATTCGTTCCTCATTTGCGATGAGCAAATCGATTGGCTGATTTTGCTGTGTGTGCTGCAGGTTCAGCTCATTGTCTCAAAGTAATGCTCCACTGGAGGGCATCCACCACCCGGGGGCATCATCAGTTTTGCAGATTAGCTAATTCGTTAACTGAGATAGACCTATAGATTGAACATTTAGATTTAACACGAGTTAATATTAATCCTTCAAATATTTAATGAAGCCTAGCACAATGATGTAAAATTTAAAACAGCCATTCAAAATATTGTCTTGATCAGCATTTAGCATCATTAAAGACATTTATGTATTTATGCACATATGTTTATGTGTGCATACATTACTGAATGTCCAGATTGGTGCATAATCATGTTTGTGCAACTGAAGTAAACACTTGCGATTTGTTGCATCAGCGTATGTGTGTGTGTATAGAGAGGGATCAGCTGGCAGTATCTTGCATTATAAACAGGAGGTCACATGGCATTGGATGGGTATAAGGTAGAGGCTTTCCCTAAGGACATCATTAAGACAACACTGCCTAAACCAGCAGCCTGAGCAAATCTCCTAGTAACTTCCAGGAAACCCTCTCTAGAGCAGCAAGGATATGCTAGGCCAAAGGATCTCCAGAGTACCTCTGGGATGTTCCTCTAGGAAATCAGCACATCTGCTGGACATTGTGCTGGACAACTTTCATACTTTGAAACCACATTATGCAATGACTCAGAAAAATCTGTTCGAGCAGGGGATTTTTTTTTTTATAAATTATTAGTTAGGCTCGAATAGATGTGAACTAGTGCTGGGCGGTATGACCAAAAATTGATATCACGGTATTTTTCAAAATTATACCGGTTTCACGGAACAAGAC